CCAGATGATTTCCTTGTGCTTCTTCCTCCTTTCTGGTGTCCCTTACAGTGCAGGATTGCTACTTCCTTTGGAAGCCAGATGGCTTCGAGGAGTCTCAGTATCTCCTCCTTGTTCTTGATAGCTTTTCCTGCTGTGGTTAGGAGGCCCTCATATGTTCTGAGGGACACAACTGCATGAGGGACCTTGACGTTTGTCCGCCTCCTTGATGAGTAGGACTGTGGCTGCCAGCGCCCTGAGGCATGGTGGCCATCCCACTGCCATAGGGTCCAGCTTCTTTGACAGGTAAGCAACTGGCTGTTGCCAGGATCCAACAGTCTGGATGAGTACCCTGAGCGCTATTTTTTCCTTTTCATCCACAAAGAGATTGAAGGGTTTTTCTACATCTGGTAGGCCCAGGGCTGGAGCCCCACCCAGGGCAGTCTTTATCTCTGTGAGAGCGGCTTCTGCTCCTCAGTCCAGGCAGGGGGTTCTTGATCTGGTCCCCCTAAGAGATCATAAAGGGGTCTTGCTATTGCCGAGAACCCAGGGATCAAGATGCAGCAGAATTCTGCAGCCCCCAGGAATTCTCGTAGGCCCCTTTTGGTCTGGGGCTGTGGAAGGGAGATGATGACCCTTTTCCTCTCCAGTCCTAGTTCTCTCTTCCTTGGGTGAGGAGGAAACCAAGGTATTGGACCTGTTGTTGGCAGATTTGTGCCTTCGTCCATGAGGCTCAGTATCCCGAGTCTGACAGGAGCTGTAGGAGGGCCTTGCTGCCTTTTGTGCAGTCTTCTTGTGTGTCACTGGCGAGGAGGAGGTCATCCACATACTGGAGGAGGGTGCATCGTGTGGCCTCTCTTGGGAAGCTGGTGAAGTCCACAGCCAGTGCTTCCCCAAAGAGGGTTGGTGAGTTTTTAAACCCTTGAGGGAGGTGCGTCCAAGTCAGCTGCATCTGGCGCCCTGTATCAGGTTCAGACCATTCAAAGGCAAACAGTGGCTGGCTCTGGGGAGCCAAGTGGAGACAGAAGAAGGCATCCTTCAAATCTGGGCAAGTGAACCATCTGGCCAACCCTGGGATTTGGCTGAGGAGGGTGTATGGGTTGGGGACCACTGGGTGCAGAGAGATGGTCACCTTGTTGATGGCCTGCAGGTCTTGAACTGGTTGGTATCCCCCTCCTGGCTTCTTGACTGGCAGGAGTGGGGTATTCCAGGCTGACTGGCACTCGACTAGAATACTCACTTCTCTGAGTTTGGTCAGATGTTCTTGGATGCCGATCTTAGCTTCTTGTGGAAGGGGGTATTGCCTTTGCCTCTGAGGTTGGGCTCCTGGGATTAGTTCGACAATGATAGGGGCCCGATTCCGGGCTAGTCCAGGTGGGTTGTTTTCAGCCCATACTAAAGGGAAGGCAAGTTTGAACTCCAGTGGGCTGCTTGGTTGGGCCTGGGCACAGAATAGCCTCCATTCTTCTTCCGTTGGCGTGGTAATTGCTAATATTAGAGACCCTGCCTCCTCTTGCGTTGGGTTCAATCAGAGGCTAGTGTGTCCAGTGGGCTCAAAGGTTATCTGAGCCCTAAGCTTGGAGAGTATGTCTCGGCCCAGGAGAGGGATGGGGCAATCAGGCAGATAAAGGAATTCATGTCAGACCTTGTGGCCCCTGAGTTTGCACTGGAGAGCCTGGCAAAAGGGCTGTTATATCGCCTGCATCCCGGTGGCCCTGAGGATGGTTGCAGTCCTTTTGCTGAAAGGTGCCACTGGGGAGGTGACAACAGAGTGCTCAGTGCCAGTGTCAATCATAAAAGTCACTGGTTGGCCCCCCACCTTCATTTTGACCATGGGCTCACGGGGGCCAAGGAGGAAAGAGCCTGGTCACCCTCAGTCTGAGTCCATTCCCGCAAGGCCTATGAGGTACTCCTCTCAGGGTTCTTCCTTATAGTGGCTGAGCTTTTGAGCCTTTCCCCAGTTGGAACATTTGTTTTTCCAATGCGCTTTCTCTTTACAGTAGGCACATTGATCCCTTGGCAAGGGGGTTCTGGGCTTCCCCCTTTTGGTGGTTGGGGTCTCCCCATCTTTGTGTTGTCCTTTTCTTTCAGGGTGGCGAGGAAGCTGACTTTCTTTTTCATCTTTTTGTCAGCTTCCTATTCAGCTGTGACCTCTCTGTTCATGTAGACTTTATTGGCAATCTCTATCAGCTGGGTGATGTTCATCCCAGCAAAACCCTCTAGTGTCTGAAGTTTTTTCCTGATGTCTGGGGCGGCCTGAGCCATGAAGGAGGTGTTTACCATCTGTTGGCTTTCCTGTGCCTCAGGGTCCAATGGAGTGTATATCCTGTAGGCTTCACATAGTCTTTCATAGTAGTCCCCGGGGGACTCCCCTGGTTGTTGAGTGACCGAGGATACCTTAATCATATTCATGGGTTTCTTAGCTCCTGCCCGGATTCCCCGGAGGAGGGCCTCCTGGTACCAGCAGATGTGGGCCTGTCCCTTGGTTGTGGTGAAGTCCCATGCTGGGCGCTCTTCGGGTTCGGCTGTATTAGCCCAGGCGGCAGGGCCGATGACTCCCACTGGTGTGTGCTCTTCCAGGTACTGCCATGCACCTTTCATTATTCTCCTCCTCTCCTCTGTGTTAAACATGGTGCGGAGTAACTGTTGGCAGTCTTCCCAGGTTGGCCGATGAGTCTGGAAGAGGGATTCTATGAGGTCTACCATAGCCTGTGGTTTCTCAGAGTAGGATGGGGTGTTATTTTTCCAGTTGAGGAGGTCGGTGGTGGAGAAGGGCTGATAATACATCATGGAATGGCTGGGTTGGACCGTCCCATCTTCATTGTGCCTCTCGGGTTCCCGCATCTCTTGTATTGGCATTTGAAGAGTGTTTGTGCCTGGCCTGGGGCACAGCCTGGCTGCTGGTCCTGGAGAAAGTGGATTTTTTAGGCCTGGGGGCACCAGTGGATCCTCTGGGCCTGGGGGCGCAGGTGAAACCGATGGCAGCAGAGTGTCTGGAGCTGAAGGGCCAGGTGTAGACAGTCTTGGGGGTATCTATGGTGGGGGCAGGGTCGGTTTGTCCTCGGGATCTCTGGCTAGGATTTGTGGAGACTGGGGCTTTTGCTGATTTTCTTTAGGTTGCTTGGATGAGGCAATTAAGACCCTGGCCTGTCCCTGCCTATTGCAAGTGAGTTGCACCAGGGGGGAAGAGCCTGAGCAATTCCTAGCCAGGAGTCAATGTACAGAAACTGGTCAGGGTGTCCTGGCTTTCCTGTTATGACTCGCCATACTCGACGAATCACTGGGACATCCAATGTCCTGTCTGAAGGCCACCCGACAGACCTCAAAGGTGGGCCATTCCAATTCACATAGGGTTCTCAACTTGCTGGGGTTCATCCTGACTCCATAGTCTCCTGAAAACCCCTTCTTGAAATTTTTGATCATGGTCTCTAGAACCATAGGTTTACTCTGCCCTGACCCCATGGTGATGTCCCCATGTGTGGTGGCACAGAGACAGACAAAGGGGGGGGTGCCTCCTGAGATGAGGAGACCAATCAGATGCCCATCTGGCCATGTCCTGAAGGAGCTTAGGTGAGGCTTAGCCGTTGCGGTCTCAGTGTTGTGACTTACTATTGGAAACTATTCTGATGCTGCCATAGACTGTCTGCTGTTCACCACTGAATCGCAGACGGGCCCACTCAGACTCCGTAGGCTTCTGGGGACCTTAAGGGTGCCTGCCCGTGGAGTCACAGAATCAGTCCGCTTGAGCAAGCCCGGTTGGACTGCACATTCACTCACACATTCACACTCCAGAAGTTATTACATTCCCTCCCTGGGAATCCCTACGTGTGAGACCTCTAAGAGGTCTCTGGGAGGTGATCAGGCTCCCCTTCCACCACAATGGGGCTGAGCCTGTCTGGGTCCTGGGGCCCCAGGCCTTACCGGAATCCAACGTCGGGACCATGTCCTCACCTGCCAAGTCTCCTCAAGTCCGGCGGGAACAGCGGAGCAGGGCCGGTCCGAGGCGACCGGGGTGAGAGACTGCTGAAAATTAGGCAGGGTGCGCTTTCTCTGTTATGATCCCTCATTCCGTCACCACCCCACCGTTACCCCCAAACCGGTGGCAACAATGGGCCAACGTGGTTCGGTTTCCTGGTCAGGGAACCAAGTGTTACAGAACCTGGACTGGATCGCCCAACGGAAGAAACCAAGCGGTACCCAGAGATCTTGGAGGATCGGAGGTTTATTTAACGCTGGCGGGCTCAGAGGAGAGTGATCTCTAAAGGTCTGAGCCCCGAGCACAAACAAAAGGGGCAATTTATACACTTCTGCTTCTGTGTACTTGGCACTTTTGGCGTGTGCGCGAAGCGAGGCAGGGAGAAGAACCTGGATTGGTGCTCATGGGAAGCAGAGCTGGGAGAAGAATCCGGAAGAGCCCAGGGGCAAAGACTGGGACTCTCTCGCTGGCTTGGTCGGCCATCTTAGGACATAGATTTTCCTTATCAGAAGTAGGGGACCACACCACTCTATCAATCTTTGACAAATTAAGGCAAAACATGAATAAGGTACAGATGTGAAAAATATAATTAGCAAATTTGATTTGAAAAATTGTAAATATGTCATTTTTGTGTCCTATACTTGAAAACACCCACTTTTTTTTTTTTTAAGATTTTATTTATTTATTTGGCAGAGAGAGACACAGCGAGAGAGGGAACACAAGCAGGGGGAGTGGGAGAGGGAGAAGCAGGCTTCCCGCCGAGCAGGGAGCCCAATGCGGGCCTCGATCCCAGGACCCTGGGATCATGACCTGAGCCGAAGGCAGATGCTTAATGACTGAGCCACCCAGGTGCCCCGAAAACACCCACTTTTAAGAATCCATGGAACATTCACATTCCTTAATCTTATAGTGAGCCATAAAACACTCAATATAGTTCACATATTCTCACCACACTGCAATAACTATAAACATTAATATTTTAAAGCTTAACCATAGGCAACTTGGAAACAAAAAAATTTCTCTAGTAGTTAAATTACAAGTATTTAAAATAGAGAGTGATGAGTTGCACACTGGTGGAGCCCCGGTATCAGGTGATACAGGCACCACTCAGGACCACCCTGCTGACAAAGTGTTTAAAATAGAAATTCACAGTAGAGGGAGAGCTTATTTTTCATTCATACTGGAATTCAAATAAAATTTGTAAGCATAAGGTTTTTATATTTGTTAAAGAGATATTGCTTTAAAATTTTGAGAAACACTGATTTAGAATAAAATCAAAATATATTATGTATGAAAATTCATAGGTACGAAGTCAAGCTTGAAACAATGCTTAAATGTTTCTATTATTAATCAGTATGAATTAAAGTTACCCATAATGCTTAAAAAGGTAGAAAGAAAGCACAACCATCTAAAGAAATAAGGAAAAAACAATTAATAAATTCATTGATCGCTGTCAATTCAAAAGTCTTAAGTAGAATAAAATGTTCAACAAATTTGAAAATATCTTTCAAAGTGATTGATGAAGGAAAAGGTAGATTAATGGGAGGAAAAACTACTATCTTTGTATTAGTAAATCAAAAAAGAAAAAGTTTCACTATCCAGAGCAATGTTGAAAAAAATTTTACTGAACTGGAAAGATAAATTAACAACATGATCAAGAATTTTTATTTCCAACCAACTGCGGGTCTTATATTTAATGGAGCATTTATATTAAAGTTAAATTCAGGAATGACATGGCCTGCATCACCGTCTCTATTTATCTATTTTTTCCTGGAATTCAAGCTAATGCTACGAAACAAACCAAAAAAGAAGGAAGGAGAGAGGGAAGGGAGGGAGAGAGGAAGTGGAAGAGGAAAAGAAGGGTGGAGGAAGTGAGCCAGAAAGAGAAAATGAAGGGTATAAATATTGGAAAAGACAAAAATGTACTTGGAGGCAACAGGATTATCCTATCAGTGCCCCCAAGGAAATGTTAGCCGTTAACAAAAACTAAAAAGCATAGAATTCTTATGAAAAACAAAAGCAGGGGTTCCTGGGTGGCTCAGTCTATTAAGCGGCTGCCTTCAGCTCAGGTCATGTCTGGGATCAAGCCCTGCATTAGGCTCCCTGCTCAGTGGGGAGTCTGCTTCTCCCTCAGACCCTCCCCCCATCTCATGCTCTCTCACTCCCTCTCACTCAAATAAGTAAAATCTTAAAAAAAGAAAGAAAGAAAGAAAGAAAACAAAAGCAAACTAGAAAAATATTACCCAAAAAAAGAGATTTAAATGAATGGGCATTTATTTTCTACTGGGCTTTTTGGTAAGATTCAATATCAATATATCAATTCCCCCAAATTAATTTATATGCTAAATTCAGTTCAAATAAAAACCTTAACAGAATTTGTAAACAATCTTGAAGTACTTCTATGATGCTTCTGGATAACACATGAGCAAATATTGCAAGAAAAAATATAAATAAAGAAGAGTAACGAGAAGGAAATCACCTCACTAATATTAACACATATTTGTAAACAGCTGTTTGCATTTTTAATCACATATGAATCATCAGAAAAGACATTGGTGCTTCATCTCTAGGAACTTGGAATGAGGTGAACGGTTGTGTCTGAAACATTAGACAAATCCAAATAAAGACCATCTAAACAAACACACATTCCACAATAATCATATGTTTGCAAGTGAAGGAATGAAGTCACTTAATGAGACCGAGTGAAGAATGAATGAAGTGTAAACAGAAAAATTCAAAAGATAATATATATAAAAAAGAACACACAAATAATCCTCTACTTCTTCTATAAATAATGAGTAAAAGAAACTGGCCAAATGTGAGTTGTTGATAAAACATTTAAAGTAGTAAAATGTCTTTTAAATTTTTATTTTTCAAATATTTGTGTTTCAAGAGCAAGTAGAAATGAGATCATCTTTTAACTGATTTGATCATTTATAAACAAATGTGCCTCTTTTTTATTATTTAGCTTTCTTCCAGAGAGCAACTTCTAATAAAGGTGCAGAATTATGTGTTCTCAAAGATTTTGTTATAGTCTTTGGTAAGTGTTTCAAAGTGGAAACAAAGCTGACCTTGGAGTGTAGTAATTTATCATTAACAGCTCTCCACAAAATCAACTTTAGAAGTTACAAATGAAGACTTACCATCTAAAAATTTGTCACAAGAGTTTTCTGCTAAAGGAATTCAGAGGAGAAAGCACTGACCTTGCTCTGGCAGTTTTTAGATGGTGTTTCATTTATAGACAGAATAAAAGAAATATGAGCTTGTCATATCGGAGCTTATTTTGCAAACTTAAACGCTGCAAGTGGAGCATGACTTTAAAATTTTCTTTTTTACACTATTAAAACATAATCGTGAGAGTTGTGCCTCCTCCCTATCATTCCAGAAAAATTATTCTAATTGGAACCCTCATCCACAGAATCTCTTTTTCTCCTTTCAAATCAGTCTTTTGACTCACCTCCCAAGTTGCCTTTCAAAGACTTCCCCACAGGCAGGATAGGGGAGTGGACAGAGGCCTGGCTGGAGGAAAAGGAAACTGATTTCGATAATAGCTTTGTACACGTTTACTTTCTCTGAAAAGGGAAAATGACACCCTTTCTTTCCAACGGCCCAATGTGCGGGCTCTTGACTTTGTTCATTTATCTACATTATGCCCCCATAACATTATCTAATTATTTCAATGTGTTAAGAACAAGGGACCAGGACATATATTTATTTTATATTACCCAGAGTTCTATCATGGGGCTAAAAACTTAATACTTCTGTGGGGCAATACAAATTTTGAATTGAATGAGAATTATTATTCCATATTACAATACTGAAACACTTTAGAAGTCTAAAGGGATAAACAAATATAAGATTTTATTACTATATTACAGAAGTTGGGGGGCACCTGGGTTGCTCAGTCCATTAAGCATCTGACTCTTGATCTCAGCTCAGGTCTTCATCTCAAGGTTGTGAGTCCAAGCCCTGCATTTAAAAAATAAATAAAAATGTATTACAGAAGTTGGAAGTTTACTATATCTTTTTTTTTTTAGGTGAAAATTCTTTTTTTTATTGTTATGCTAAGTGAAGGAAGCTTACTATATCTTAAGTCTCTTTCCTATCTTTTATTTTATTTAGTCCAAAAGTATTAGAACCCAAATTCTATTATAGTAAACTCCTAGGGGGTGATCTAAGCTATATTATTGCCTTAAATTTTTTTGTCATATTAGTAACACTGCAAAGTTGGCTGGAGGTTGGAAATAATTGTTATATATAATTTTAATCTTTTTTGTTAGAGATAATTTTAGATTTTGTTTCAGGATAATAATTATCGTCCCTAATGGTAATCTTCAGTTTATCTTCAAAATGTTCAAACATATCTTTTGTTGACTTAGATCTTAAGTACACTAGTTTTTTTCCACGTGAAATTATATTTTCTTATAGTCATCATATATATTTAGCCACAACCAGTCTATTACAGGTGAACAATCTTTTGTCCACATTTAAAAATTCAAAAGCTCTGAAAACTAAAAACTTTTCATGACTCATTTGGAGCCAGCATCAAACCTAAACTGCACTCATTAGGTGGCAAAACTTGACTTGGACTGACATGAAGCTATTTATATCTTTATTTGTTTTTGTACATTTTGTTACAAAATATAAAAATATTAATGTTTTTGATTACAGAGTGTTGCCCTGGCCTGGATGGGGTTGTTAACAAATAAACAGTAAATGTATGACTTTGCTTTCTAAACTTTGAAAACAATTTAAATTCCCAAACACATCTGGGGTGGTTGGCCTGCATTTGTATTTCCCTCAAAAAAAGATTTTGATCATATCAAGAAAGATCACAGCACTTATTTTTAGGGTTAGTCTTTGCAGGTAACTCTTCATTCCATTGCTGTTTGACTGTTTGCTTTACCTCTCCTGGTTATGGACATTATTCTTTTCTACCTTTACTATAATTACCTCTATTCGGTATTCCTTTGTGTCCCCTGGACCAAAAACCACCCTTGCCATACCTCTTCTTTGTCACTGGTACCCCTCCTTGTTTGTTCCTCTGGAGAAAAAATCTCTGCAAATCACTAAAGTAACCTCTTGACTTGGTCTTCTCACTTTCCCACCTCAATACTCCAAATCTCTCCTTATTTACCTCTTTCCATTATTAATTACAAACAGTCAACTTCTGTGGCTTTTGAAACTTTTTGCTCTTCATAAAATGGGAACTACAACCCAGTTTGAGAGAAATTTATTCCAATGTACTTTAAGCCCAGAGATGGATATACTGCATGGTAGTCAGCATGTGTAAGTTACTAAAGAAAAAAATGAAGATGCTACAGTGTTCTGGTTACCTGTTGCTGTATAATGAACTACTCCCAAACTTGGTGATTAAAGAAAAAAAAACTTGCTCATTATTATTTTATTTCATGATTCTGCAGGTCAGGATTTTGGACAAGCACAAAGTAGATGGCTTTCTTCTCCTCCATGATGTCTAAGGCCTCACCTTGAATGACTTTGAGACTCTAATTGTTGGGGGCTGGAGTAGTTAAAGATAAGCCCAGAATTTCTCTCTCTCTCTCTCTCATATCTCATTTCTCAATTCAATCTGACATAGCATCACTTCTACTATACTGTATTGGTAAAAGCAATGAGAGAATTGTCAAAGAATTTGTGTCCATCTTTAATCTGCCACAGCAGGTCAATCAACTCCTATTCTCTGGAGTCCTTTTCTTTCCTTTTATTTTCTTTCTTCCATGGTCAAATGACTTGATTCAATGACCACCCTAAGTTGATTTCCAAAAGTTTTCCTAAGTCATTATTTTAAAAATGCAATTTCTTTATTTTCTGTCATACTTCCTCTATTCGTCCCACCTCGTACTATAATAAGGCCAAAAGAGGTAATGATTGCCCTAGTCATGCCTTCAAATTGCGGTCTAAAAATTATCTGGAAATAGAAGCAGTGGCCAAGAAAGAGAATATTTCCGTCTTATTTTTTCTTCATAAAGGCTCACAATGAGAAAGTTGTGGATATCTCTCATCATTGTTCTCTTCTAAAAGATTAGCAATTTGAGAAATAAATTTAGAGAATGCTACAAAAAGGATCAAAGGAGATATTTGAAAAGTCCTTTATTTCTCCCCTCTAATAACCACATATTCTTGAAGACTA